TTATATATTTTTTGTGCAATATTTTCATTTAAAAAATTATATGGATGAATTATTTTTCATCCTGCCCTTAATTTAAACATTCAGAGACCGTAGCTATGCCATTGTTTTTGTGTATCATAATCATGACCATGTTAACAGTGTCTCGAGTAGTACAAACCGGAGTAAGCTTCCCGTCGGGAATTTCCTGACCGGAACGTCGTCCGGCCACGTCCATTTGAGGTGCTTACGGGTGGATTTTTTTGATAAAATTTTGTGAACATGTTCTTCATGAAGTGTAGATTATGTCCACCACATTTCATAAAATAATATATTTCATAGATTATCTACACTTCTTGAAGAAGATGTCCACGAAATTTCATAAAATAATATATTATTTTTGGACATAATATATATTACTTCCTTTGTCGCAATTTTTTTTTTTGCAAAATTTCCTATTTTTTGGTTGTCCCAAAATTGTTTTCCACTTTCTATTTTAGGTATGTAAATAAGAGTAAAGTGACAAATTTACCCTTACTTTTACTTTTTTCCTTCAACTTAAAGTCATCTACTTTTAGGATGAAGGACAAAACTGTAAAAAGCAAACATCAATTATTGTCATTCCTTAATCCTTGTGCCGGTCAAAGTTTGTAATTCAATTCGGGACGGAGGGAGTATATTATATATGTATTTATTAGTAATTGTATCTCATCTTTTATTTGCGGACGACAGTTTCCTATTTTTTAAGGCTAATATTTGGGAGTGCGAAACTATTAAAGCTATTTTGCAGCATTACGGGTAATTTTATCAAGTCCAAAATCTCCTTTAGTCCAAATATAGAACTGCCCTGAGGACTGTTGTGCAACTCGCTAGGTGTGTCACTTGAAGGGAGTCAATCCCGTTATCCTTGTTTGCCAGCTATGGTAGGTGGGGGGGGGGGGGGGGCAGAAAGCTATTTTACGTTATCTTCCTGAGAGTATAATTAATAGAATCAAAAGTTGGAACAATAGATTCTTGTCCACAGCAGGAAGAGCAGTTCTTTTAAAAAATGTAGTGCAAGCTTTGCCATGCCATGCAATGAATGTATTTTTATTGCCAAAAGGTTTATGTTAAGAAATTGAAACTTTAATGAATGGATTTTGGTGGAAATGTTCAAAAATGGAAAAAAAAGGAATTAGATGGAAAGCGTGGAGTGGGCTGTGTTGACCTAAAGAGGATGGCAGATTTGGTTTCCGTAAAGTGCGGGAATTTTATATTGCCATGCTTGCTAAACAAACTTGGAGACTAACTATGGACAGAGGCAACCTTTTTAGTCGGGTATATAAAGCCCGCTATTATCCAGAAACCTCATTTTCGAAGGCAAGGATTGGAACAAATCCTTCGTTCATATGGCGCAGCATATTGGAAGCCCAGTCCGTGGTGGCTGCAAATACTAGAAGAAGAGCCGGGAATGAGAAGGATGTTCAGGTTTGGGCCGATGCATGGCTGCCAGGCTCGGGTTCGGGCAGAATAGTTTCAGCCAGACCAATGGGAATCAAGGATATGAACGTGGCCACATTAAGATCGGAGGATGGCAAGAGATGGAATCATGAGCAAATCAAATCCATGTTTATACCGGAGGACTGTAACCGGATCTTACAGATTCCTATTAGCATTCGTTCTCGGGAGGATGCTTGGTGGTGGACTGGAGAGAAGAACGGGTTTTTTCAGTGAAGAGCTGCTACAGATCTATAGCAGGGAGGGGAAGTGTGAACAATTGGCTTGGTTGGACCAGTATGTGGAGGTAAAAGATTTCCACCAAAGATTAAATATCATTTCTGGCAAATAATGGTGGGAGTTCTTCCAGTAGCAATGAACCTATGCAGGAGGGGAGTAGACTTGTCAACGGTTTGCAGGTTGTGCAAGGCAGAAGAGGAGACGGCCTTTCATGCTCTCCATTCCTGTCAGGTAGTGCAGACGGTATGTGGAGCTGCTGGGGCAGATTTTTGGTTTCCAGCAGGTTTAGAAGAATAGGTGCAACGGTGTTTGGAAGGTAAAGATAACGAGAGATGGTGTAGGTTTATCATGCTGTTATGGAGTTTGTGGAGAAGAAGGAATGAGCTGGTTTGGAGTGAGGTGTTGCTAACGGGTTTGTTGATCATTAAAAGTGCAGACACTATGCTTCAAAGTTGGAGGGAAGCACAAGCTCCCAAGAACCTGGTAACGCAGCAGCGATCATTGCAGAAGGCGAAATGGCAGCTTCCTTGTAGTGGTTGGTGAAAGTAAACGTGGATGCGGCAGTCAACGTGGAAGGCGGGACAAGAGCATGGGGTTGTGTCGCTAGGGATTCTCAAGGGCAGCTTCTAGGTACTAGCAGCAGCTCCCAAGTTAGCGGATTGGACACCAGAAGAGTCCGTGGATGTTGGTATTAGAGAGGTGATTAAGTGGGCTGTTCAAGCAGGTTGGGGTCCAGTGGATATAGATGATATTAGACATTTGTTAGAAGTAAATCCGAATTTTTCACTTTCGTTTTGTAATATTTCTGCTAATTGTGTTGCTCATGCTCTTCCAAGGGAAAGCGTTTTACAGCCAGATCTTAGGCGATCTTAGGCGTAGTGCCTGAGCAAGTTGTAATTCAGATTGTTAACGATTTGCTTATTTAATGAGAAGGCGGTTTTACATAAAAAAAAGTAAAAAACTATATGAAACTTAGTCTTATGATCTGATCCATTAAGAATTAAAGTTAATGTTATTCTATAAGAGCGCATGTTATTTTGCATGTGATTGATATAATGATATTTGGGATAAGTGATGAACTAATGAGAGTACAGTAACAACTTTTTCTTTGTGAACTTGACATAGTTGACAATCTTGGTGCTTTAATTTGTCAATGGTTTGTTACATATACATTCTTACTGATTGTTTTTTTTAAATAGATGTCTGCAAATTGGACTATTCGCAATGAAGTGTCTGTTCCACAGCTCCTTGAGGCCTAGTTATCATGATGAATTGCTTACTATTGAACTCATGGAAAGGGTAATTTTGCTTTTATATAACTCCAAATGACGTTTGATATCCTTTCAAGTCTTGTGAAATAATACACGTTTAGTAGTACCTTTGCCATTATTATCAACAAAATGGGGAGTACAAAATATCCAGGGGTCCTCATATGCAGCTGCCAATATTACTTTCTGACCAAGGAGGACAAAGAGGAAGTTACCATTTGGGCATGTAGCTGAGCCACTAAATTGGGGCACCCTCGTCAAAACAAGTGAAAAAACCAGTTTGGAAAGCCTTATTTCAGTTATTTGTTAAAGCGACTGCAAAAAGCAACACAGGCACATTCAAGAGAAACAAAGAAAGAATTGGCTTTTTTTTACTTGGTGTTTTTGTAATGTTGTGAGGAGTATTTTTTGCCTCCCCGAATTTCATTGTAGGCCAGTTGGTCGATTTGATTGATTAATTTACAATGGGGATTTATCAGATCATCAAAGATCGATAACATTCAATATGCATTAGGAATTTTATCATGTAACAAATTTAAATAAGTACATAATATTTCAAATTTTAATTGCTTGCACACTTTTATTGAAGTTGCTCACATATTCTTTATATAATGATAGATAAATCAAAACCAATGTAGTTATTTATTTTTTATTATACAATGAAATCTTAAAAGGTTCCCACTTTCCTTTTATGGACGTCCCATATAAAAGTTCTCATTTCCATTTTAGAAAACAATTGGAAATTTTAAGTGACAAATTAATCATTAAATATTTAAAATAATACATTTATAACATCATAGCTATCAATACTAACTACATTATAATATATACCTATTAAAATTAGGAAAAATTGACAAGAATAATCCCACCTTTCACTGGTCTTCTCATAATAATCTCACCTTTAAATAATCCCAAAATAATCCCATCCTTGCACCTCATTTTCTTTCATTGGACCCTGACCAAATTTTTTACCTTTTTAAAAAATCTTATATAAATAATCTCACATTTATAAGGATATAATTAAAAAGTGAAAGGTGAGATTATTTGTATAATTTTCAAAGAAAGAGTAAAAAACATGGTCAGGGTCCAATGAAAGAAGATGAGGTGCAAAAGTGAGATTATTTTGGGATTATTTAAAGGTGAGATTATTATGAGAAAACCAGTGAAAGGTGGGATTATTCTTGTCAATTTTTCCTTAAAATTATTTCTCAAAATATACTCGTAGTAATTTATTTAATTATTGTCCAAATAATCGTTCCGTTTTGTTATGGGAACCTTCCAACAGGACGGAAGTAGTAGTAATTAAAATATACTAGTAGTAGATAATGAGGAAACACATCCCTATTTGAGGCAAATTGTATGGTACCAAAACTTATTTTACACAAAACTTATATACAAGTTGTACACCGCCTCATCAGTACACATGTAATTCTTTTTCTTTTTCTTTTGCAACCATGCTTGGTATAAACATACGGTGACAACTCCGGTACCCATTTAAAAAATGGGGGTACCGTACCTACCATGCATTTGATTGGTCCAAATCATTATATGCTTTTTAATTTAGATTTAAATAATTCAACTGCATCACTCTTATTGGTCTATTTGGACAAAGGTACGGTACATTTAGGGTACCATAGAATCTACCTAAACATATTATGTATACTTTTGTGTATATCTCTTTTAATTGTCTGCCTACAAGGCAATTGGTAGAATGAATTGCCTATGCTTGGTACATAAAACGTATACGTGGTACAAAATACTACCTCCGTTCTTTAATAAGTGCAACATGTTGAATTTTACATTATTCACATGTTGTACTTTGACTACGTTTAATTAAATAATGTATTAATATATTTTCTTGAAAAAAATATTGTTAAATTTGTCTCATTCTAAATGTTCAAAATTTATTTTTTTTAATTTTTTTTACTGATAAAGAATGATATATATTAATGGTCAAAGTTGTGTCTCGACAAGTATGAAATGTTGACCGTTTCACTTATTTAAGAAGTGAGGAAGTAAGGAGAATGTGAGTATGTCGTAATAGGCTCATAGCATTTTTAATTTATTTCCCACTAATATACGTAGTATCTTGTTCTCTAAAATGTTTACAGAACTTACAAGTACTACCTACGCTTGTTGTCAGTTGTCTTTCCCTTTTAACAAACGCCATATCAAAGCAGATTGTTTTAGAGCAGATACAGTAATTGTTTACTGAAAAAGATGGAGTGGGAGGGCGACGAGAAAGAATTGAAAGCGGCCGGAGCGGAGCTACTCACTGACGGACGGCGAGGGCTTCGAATTCAAGGTTGGGAAATCGAGTCTCGCAAGTGCTCCATTCTGAACTCTGCTCAACGGGAACAGTAATCCCCCCCACCCTATATGTGCCATTATGCATTGCTGATTCACCCCCGTCTTCAAGTAGATGGATCTATTGCTGTTATGATTTCTGTAGAAAGGAATAACTTTTGAAAAATATATACTAGTGACTTGCGAGTAGATTGAATGTTGATAGTTAACATATTGCAAGTATATCAATAACCATATATCAATAACTTTTGGTAATCGCCTGAGATACTCCATCTGTTTGAGCTGTAAAGAGAGGTTGTCAGCATTGGCTGGCAGCCTTCTCTCATTCTCTGGCTACGACACCTTATTAGATTTTGAACTGCCCATTGCTCAAAGAACCGCTAGAAACTTTTAAAATAATGCACGGCTCAATCAAATTCGAGGGAAAATTGCATTTTTCTGAAAACAAGTTGCCAAAATATTTCTTTTCTTGATAGCCTTTGATTGTAATGGTTGAAACTCATATTTGAGTTTTTGTTTCATATGTAGAAAGGGCATTTCTTTAAATAGAAGAAAATTTTCTTTCTACAAACATGGATATGTATTTAATAAAAAAAATATTTTTCTACAATCATGCATATCTATTTATATACTTGTATCAAATATCAATGGCCGGTGCAACCGAAGTAGAAAGTCGTTCTCAATAATATAATAGTTTCTGGATTAAACTAATGGCAATGTGTACTATGTATTTCAGATGGGAGGAACAACTTACAACATCCCACTTGCCAGAGATGGTATTTGGGGAGAATTCTTTGGTTCTTAAGCATGTGACAAGTGGTGTTAAATTTTGCTTCAATGCATTTGATGCGCTGGTTGGATGGAAGGAGGAAGGACTGCCACCTGTTGAAGTTCCGGCAGCTGCAATATGGAAATTCAGAAAGTACAGATCTGTCTTACCCACTCTCTAATTAAGGATGAAACTGAAATTTTACTCACTCCCACTGACCAACAAAATTTAATTTTAGTATTGAGTAACTTATATGTGTATCAAACAATGATAGGCATTTCTCTAGAGTCACCCTTTTTGTGTTGCATATTAATCCTGATCAGCACAATGCTCTTTCACATTGAATGCTCAATATGATAAGAACAGCTCCTTGGGGATCATTTGTGTTAGTGCAATCTAGTTAAGTTGATTACTTGAGTGAAATCCCACATTACCTCGCCCAGTCCCTTGTTTGGATGAGGTCTTAAAGCCCCGTTCCACACCTGTGGAGATGCAATCCTGTTACGTAATATCCCACCTTTTGAATTTTCTAGCTCAATATGTAACGATCCTACACCGGTCAAGTATGGGCTTGACCAGTGGCTTATAAACAAGGTGTTCCCTCCTCCTAATCGACTGGCCTTTTGGGAGTGAGTTCTACACCTGGTCCGTAACAATTGGTATCAGAGTTATCCCCATCTTTCTGGTCCCGACACTCGGGGTGGTTGCCATATAAGATCTCATCCAAGGACGAGAATGAGAGATTCGCAAGGAACGAGAGCTTAGCGAACTATGTAATTTGGAATCTATGATGAACATATTAATCGGAAGAATTAAAAGAAACGGCTTAGTGGAATTAATGTGATATGTGATCTTAGAAGTATTCCAGAGATCCAAGAATTATTTCTCCCAAAGCTGTTTATTGAATAATACTAATGATCCTTATATAGTTATTACAAGAGTCCTAATTCTAAAAGGAAATAAATTCTAATTAAGAAGTTGCCTAACGCATAATAGGAATAATTATTGATAAGAGATAAATGCTAATTAGGAAGCTGCTGATTAGGAAGTTGTCTAAAATTGCCGGGTCACATATTTCTTTCTCAGCCACTTTGGATTCGAGATTCACCCTTCCTGATCATCCGATTTCTACATTGATATTTCCGACCATAGAATTGGTCTGTAACATCAATTGTCACGGACCTAACCCATACTAGGCCCATATCAAGGCCATAAGCCCATGTATAGAACTCACTCCCAAAAGACCGACCGATTAGAAGGAGGGAACACCTTGCTGATAAGCCATTAGACAAGCCCATACTTGACCGGTGTGGGATCGTTACATAATACTACCTCTATCCATGCTTATCCCCTCCTCACCCCCATCGTATGGGATGTCAAAATATTATTATTTTTAATGCTACTTCCAAGAATTAAGCCTCTAAACCAAACATTGTATTGTTAGTTCTTTCCTGTGAATTCTCTTAGCACTATAATTAGGTCCAAGCATTTATATACGCCCTATGTCCGAATTTATCTATAGACTTTCCCTTTTCCTTCGTCTCAGAGTTTTTGCCCATTTTCTTTTAAGGAAAGTAGTATGTATTTCACATTAAATATCTTTCTTTTTAGTAAACCTCAATCACATAGTTTTTACTTTTACTATTTTAAACCCTATGCCCAATTAAATTGTGCAATAATTAAGGGATAGAGGGGGTAATATTTAACTTCAATAAGTTACAGGATCTTAATTCTATAAGCCTGTCATTACATCTTTTAGATGCTTCCATATTTAAAAGAAATTCCTCTTAAGCTTTTGTATAAATGTAAATTAATGTTGGCTTCCTGCTGCTTGAACCTTTACATTATGAACTTAGCTGACCTAAATGAATTCGTTCTTTTTTCGAATGATTCCTGCAGTAAACCCTCAAAAGAGATGGTTCTTGATTATGACTATACCTTCACAACACCATATGGTGGAAGTATAATATTTGAAACAAATTATCAGGTATTTGCATATTGCATCACAATTTAGTACGAAGTAATAATAAACTATCAGTTCTCTCACATTACACACATATATATTTGTGCGTGTGATATATATATACACACACAAATATTCCTGTCCGGAATTTCCGGACAGGAACCCCGTCCGGCCTCCTCCATTTGGGGGCCTTCCCGGTGGTATTTTTTGCTCAAGTCTAGTTCATCCATACCAAATTTGAGCAAAAAATTCAGTCGGGAAGGTCATCAAATCATTTTTGCAAGTTAACTGGTCCGGAAAATACATATTCCGGACCAGTTAACTTGCAAAAATCATTTGACGACCTTCCCGATTGAATTTTTTGCTGAAATTTGGTATGGATGAACTAGACTTGATGAGGAACATACACAAAAAATTTGAGCAAAAATACCACCGGGAAGGCCCCCAAATGGAGGAGGCCGGACGGGGCTCCTGTCCGTAAATTCCGGACAGGAATAGCACTCTCTCTCTCTCTCTATATATATATATATATATATATATATATATATATAGTCCCGTTCCTTTCCAGCCGGCCTGAGGGGAACCGCCGTCCGGCCGAGGGCATTTCGGGCACTTCCCGATTGAATTTTTTGATGAAATTTGCTGTCAGGCCGGCTGGACATGAAGTTTCCTATATATATAATTTGGTTCAAATAAAAGTGTTTCATAGGTGAAAAATTAGAAATAATCTTGGCTTTTGATTTGATAAATTGGAAGGATTTGGTCAATTTCTTAAGGGAAAAGGGGCAAATAAGCCCTCGAACTAATAAAAAAAAGTGCAAATAAGCCCTTATATAGGAGGTTCGGTCCGGTCGTCATCATTTGGGGAGGTTCCCGATGGAATTTTTTGATGAACTTTTTTGAGCATCTTTTCCATTAAGTCTAGTTTAGTCATACCAAGTTTTAGCTAAAACTTCAACCGGGAAGGCAGTCAAATGATTTTCTGAAATATACTGCGTTGTTTAACTGCGCAGTTATCTTCGAAAATTCATTTGACTGTCTTCCCAAGTGAATTTTTAGCTGAAATTTGATATGGCTAAACTAGACTTAATGAAGAAGATGCTCAAACAATTTCATCAAAAAATTCCACCAGGAACCTCCCCAAATGGCGAAGTCCGGACATAACCTCCTATATAAGGGCTTATTTGCACTTTTTTGGTTAGTTCGAGGGCTTATTTGCCCCTTTTCCCATTTCTTAAAGCTAAAACATGGTGGCATTATGGTAAATTAGAAAAACTTTAATGGAGCAGTTGAAATAAAAGTGCATCATTATATTGAAAAATTGTACGAGTACATAGTAAACGTGCATCAATAGCTGTATAAAAATATGCGTGAATATATTACTCCGTAACATTTTGTTTAAACACAAAATTCACTTGTATTATCAAGCAAATCATTTTTATGATTAAACATTGCACGTTTGAGTTTTTTATGATTATTACCTGTTGAGATACACCCCCCCGGCGAACATGGAGTCTCTAAAATAATATTAGTTGTTGAGAAGATAATAACATTCACCTATTCTTATTTTTCATGGGAAGACCCATTTTCATTTCAACCTTACTATGTGCATATACACGTGCGCGCGCGCACACACATATATGTGTATGTATATTTATACATGGATAGATAGATTGACACACATACATAACATATATTTCTACAAGTTTATAAATTTTCAATGCCAATCGCCTATATTTAAGCGTGTGCTCAGAGTATCCTCTTTAATTGCCTTTCTTGAATCATTTCCTTTCTGCAATTCTATAGAAATTTCCATTTTAATTTGCAGTGGGAGAGCTGCAAGGAGAAAATTGATGTGGCCACACTTGCATTAAAGGAGCCTATTCTATTTTATGACGAGGTAGTAAGTTAGTGATTTAATTCAGGGAGCGCATATATACCGACGTATGTCTTATCATATTTTTGTCTAATGTCTTTAGTAGCTTGTGAGCAGCATAAGTGATGTTTGCTCCAACTTTTCAACAGATCGTCTTGTATGAAGATGAATTAGCTGATAATGGAATATCTCTTTTGACAGTTAAAGTGGTAAACAATGACTTTACTTTTCTACCTTTTGCAACTGCATGTGCCTTCAGGGTTGCTTATAGATTGATCATTATTATTGTGATTTTCTAGAGAGTCATGCCTAGTGGTTGGTTCCTGCTGCTGCGTTTTTGGGTTAGTTTATCATTACAAACAATCAATTTTACAATTAAAAACTTATGTGTTTACATTTTGCCGTGGTTCAGAGTGTCAGTTCCATATTGATTGACTAATTGAGAATCTAACAGCTTAGAGTTGATGGGGTGTTGATGCGGCTGAGGGATACTCGTATGCATTGCACCTTTGTTGTGCCTGGAAAATCAGTTATTCTTCGAGAAAGCTGCTGGAGAGAAACCTCATTTCAATCTTTATCTTCTGTAAGTTAAATATCACTCCTTACAAATTCTGCTACACATCATTTGCATACATTCAGTGACATTTTTTAAAATTGCTTTTGGAGTCTGTTACTTTCCTCTAAAGAAAACTGTCTCTACTCCCTTTAAACGTCAAACTGTCAAAGCTCAAATTTGTAATTTAGGACATTTCTTGTCCACCTACTAGTTGTGATCATGCTTTTTATAATGATCATTATCCGCTAATTGATGCTTTTTTGAATATGATAGTTGATCATTTCCCTCAAAGGGGTGGTCATTTTACGTTGTTGGGTGCAAATTATCATAGTACATCCAAATGTACCATATATGATTAGTTTTTTTTGTTTTTTTTTGTTTTTTTTTGCGGGGGGTGGGGGGTGGGGGTGCTCTCTAACAATATAAGGTAGCCAACAATTTCTTTTTTACTGTCATGTATGCTATTTGTTTTACAATCGCAAGAAATGGACTATTGCATGTTGGGACTTATTCTGTTAAAAATAAATTGCTAGAAATACGCATATATGACTAAAAGAGAATGAAGTTCCCAAAATATGACTTCAGAACTTCTTTATGTGCCGTATGTCTAAAAACCATGTCCACGCATCTCTAGTTTTAAAATAGAGGATGTGAATTACTTTATTGCCCTAAATCCTCTGTGTGGGTAGACTGAGAACAAAGGATTTTTTTAAATGGAAACATAGCGAATATGTAGGGCCACGGGACAGTAAGTTGAATCTTTTGGGACAGTAAGAGTCCATTTGGTGACCCTGTTTTTCAGCTTATCAGGCTTATCAACCAACTTTTTCACCAAACATGAACCTTTAGATTTCGCGCGCTGAGTTGTGTAATAATAAGAAAAAGTAAGGTTGGAGTTACTTTTGTGGCTGTATTGGCTGAAGTTACCGTAGAAGAATATTTTAGCTATTTTTTATATATATTTTCTTTATTTTATTAATAAAATATATATTTTTTTTTCATAAATCAGTAGATTCAGCCAATCTAGCCATTCAGCCAGAATTTCATAAATTCCAGCAGAATCAGCCAATACAGCCGATTTGGGTATTACCAAACGGGCTTTTAAATATAATAATCGTAGATTTTGGACAGTAAAAAGAAAGTGTTTGTGTCTATAATATTGGAAAAATATGACAAGGATAGTATATTGAAGTGTTCAGACAGTAAATGGAATGCTTATTGAGAGACTACATTGAATGTGTGTGGATGTGTTTGGACAGTACATTGAATGCCTTTGAACAGTGAATTGCATGTTTTTGGAAAGTATATTGAATGTGTGTGGAAAGTATACAGAACTTGAATGTGTTTGGAAAGTAAATGAAACTATGATGGCATACTGCTTTTCCATATTGTGAATGCTTAAGTTTCACTTTATTGAGAACACATTTTTTTCCATAAACTATGTGATGTTGAGAATTTGGAGGAGAAGCCGTTACCATGTGAACGTCATATTATAAGGAAGGCTAATTAATTTGTCTTGTTATGAAGATAAAACATGATGGTATGTGATAATAATTCGTGATTTTGAGGAAGAGGGAAATTTGTTATTTAGTGATTTTGTTGAGGGCATGGTGGGCATAAAAAACAATAAATATAGGAACCATACATACGGCGTGAGAATGGGAAAATATAACGTCATAGTCATATACTGGGTAAGAGTAAGTGGTTTTGTCATACGCATGGTAAACTTCTCTTTAGTTTTAGCTTTGGGCTTAAACTTGTTTTTTTTTTTTAATTTGGTCTCATTTGAATTTTCTGCTTAGAGTTTATACATGGTTACTCATGGCAGAAAACTGTGACGTTTGCATGATACATTTACCACTTTTTTGGACTGATTATGCAGAAAGGGTTACCTACTGATTCTGCTGCATATAGTGATCCGAGCATCAGCAGTGAAAGGCTTCCGGTTATACTGCAGAGAACCCAAAAGCTCAATATTTCAGATGCCGTGTAAGCAAAACGTACTCTAAGTAGTCATAGGTGAAGTGATGAACAATATTTGGAATTCTCACAAGTGATAATTTTTTGTTCTGATTACTTTCTAATCAGTCTACCCATAACATAGTATTGTAACGTTCCTTTTTCCAACTCTTAATGTTCATCTCTGCTTATATACTGGTCACTTTGCATTGTGTTTGGATATGAGATCGATGGAAATCGCTGAGGTTTTTTTTCCCGTTTTGAAAGCAGTGGAGATAGTTTGAACTTTGAAGTAAAAGAAACCACAAAAGTTTCATTGCATTGCCTGATGTAACCTCAATGTAATATACACTGTTTGATGCTCCAAAAAGAAATCTCCCAAGTTATCATTCTGGTAGTGGAAATGACAACAGAATAAGGTAAGAAAGCTTCCCGGTTTAGGTGGAAGAACCAGATGCTGGACAGGTGTACATGTTATCAACAATAGGAACATCTTAAAAGTAGACACTTTATAAGATTCACACTAGAAACAGTGTTGCAAAATTTAACGTAAGCAGCCACCTAGGCACTAGGTGCCTGACTGCCTGGTGCCTGGTGCCCCTTAGGCCAAAGTGGAAGTCCGAATTGGGATCTAGGATGTTTTTACTTAGACTGGTTTCAGTCCCAGATCAGAACAAAACAAATCTGAATTAAACAGATCAGATCAGACCAAACTTAATCAGACCAAACTTTGACAGTTATATACGGAGTATATTAGTAAGTCTAGTAATACACATGGACCAGACATGTACTAGACCAAACTTAAACATACCAGATCAACCAAACCAGAAAATTCCAGTCTTATTAAAAACATCTTTATAAGCAATATTCCGACTCGAACGACCTAGGTTTTGGGTAGGCATGCTAGGTGCCCGTGCTTCTAAACCTTTTTAAATCACATTTTATTGCTAAAGTTCCATTTTTTTGGTATTTATAGTTTTATACTCCCTCCGTCCCATTTATATTTTCCCGGAAGAGGGTAGCACGGTTATTAAGAAAAGTGAGTTTGTGTGGTTGATATTAATTGATAAAGTAAGAATAAAGTAAGAATGATTTAGAGTCACACAAACTTTGCCAAATATGGTATGGGACAATATAAGTGAGACTTCCCGAAAAGGTAAAACGGGACAAAATAAATGGGACGGAGGGAGTACATAACTAGGAGACGTAATTTACCCTATTGTATGTATTATTATATTTTATTGTTTAGACCATCCACTGACTACCTCTGTAGTCAGTGAGAAATAGGAGTGCCTGGTGGGAGCCAGGGGCGGAGCCAAGGGGGGTTAGGGTGGTCAGCCGACCCCGCTGAAAATTTATGAATGTAGAGCTTTGAAATGCCTTCGTTTTGATATATTATGGGTCCCGTAACTCTTTACGAGTAAAAAGTTATGACTTCTGGAAAAATCAGCACTATCTTAACTTGAAATAAGCAAAGTTTGATGTGTGACGTTGATTATATTATTAAATTTAAAAATAAAACACCTTATTCCGTCATTAGTTGTGTGAACATTATGACACATTACATATATTTCAATACATTAACCGAAAAATGCTCATTAAACTACCATTTATCTCAGCTACATATGAAACATTTAACTCAAGTATTGTGTACATTAATAATTATCCATCATTTTGATACTGTATATAATTAAATTCCGACCCCCCTCACACATTTTTCTGGCTCCGCCCCTGGTGGCCTGGTGGGAGCCTAACTTTTTCTCAACCATCACAAGAAGATTGAGCATTTAAAGATGCCAATATATTCTAAGACTTTTAAAATTGAGACATAAAAAATGAATCTGATTATAACTAATTTGTTACACACATTTACAAATTAAAATAGATTTTGGTACATACTAGTAATACTACAGTAATCACGGGCAACTAATTTGAAACATAGTTTGGAAAGAAATATTGTAGTGAGGAATTCAAATTTAACTTCAAAGACGGATTCACTTTGTTTGTCAATTTTTGTCATATAAATACTAAGCAATCTTATATTTTGTAAAATAAATTATTAAAAAGTAATCATATTTCTTGTTCCTTTGCCCTTTGTGGAGTAATTCGGAAAATAAAAATCGTTTTCCTTGGCATTTCCTTACTTTCCAATCTCTTATCCAGGCTTCAACCTTTTGGAACAATGGTAATAATTTCAACTTCAATATTTACAGCAGAAAGATAGTCAAATCAATATTTACAGCTTCAGGTTTAGGTCTAGCTTATTAGGATAGGAGGAGGACTGCTCCTCTGCTTCTTGAGGATTGAACCAAAAACTTCTTGGCCATGTTGAGTCTGCTGTTTTGTCCATTGGATCAGACAGCCCTGACACAGACAACCTTGTATTAGGAGGCTTCCCAAACTTTGTCACTGTTATACTTCCATTTCCATTATCCCTCCCTTGACCATGCATAATTCCATGGTGTATAACACCCATAGACCTTAACATGGGATTATGGAATGCCATACCCACCAAGTTGTACTTTTTCAATGCACCTCTTTCCTTCTTGTGAGCATTCTGGTGGCCACCTAATGCTTGAGAGCTGTAAAATTTTCGCATACAAAAATTACATGAAAACAACTTGGGAGAAGCAGGGTTTGAAGGCGTGCTTTCTCCTCCCATACCTAAACTCAACCACTCTCCTGAACCATGTATGGTTGCCTCATGATCTCTGTGCTCACTTCTCATTCTGCTTTATTAAGTTTATTTTCAGAAGATAGATGGAGAAGGCCTGAGATAAGAGGGAAACTGAATGAGAATGAGATGTAGTGGGAGGGAATTGGTTCATATATATTGCCTATTTGTGGTGCTTTATGCTCCTAGGGACAAGGCTTTATGTCATTCTTCACTCGAGCCTCTATCATAATAATGAGAGTAAATACTAATACACAATAGTTAGAAACGTAACTTTGTTTCCATCTCTACTTTAATCAAAATACTGCACTCTATAGTTGTAAGGACACAGAAACAAAAAAAATGAAAATGTTCTTTTTACTCTTTTTTATGGAAGGTTTTATAAAGTTCCTTTTAGAGATTTTTGAAGCATGAAAATGCTGAGGATTTGTTCTCTTCACTTTTTTAAATATCATATTCTTATTTCAATCAAACCAAACCTGATGTTTATATTCGTGACAAGAAAACTTTTCACGATGAGAAATATTGAAGGGTCCTAACTCCCAAGAGTTCACCATGTTATAGTTGTTGCATATATTTGTGAAGTGCATGCACCTGCATCAAGTGTTTGAACATTCTATAGAAAAACTGGGGTGCAGTATTCACTTTTAATAAAAGCAACCTATCTGAAAAGGCAAAAGGTAATGCATAGTGTATTACAAGATCTACATGCTAAGATAGAGAAATTGCTTTTCCTTTGTACTATGATTTTTTTTTTGCAGTGGGTTGGTACTTACTACAAAAAATGGAGCATAATAAATGTGGGCCCCACCACGAAAGGGATTTGCTTTCGTTTTGGTAGAATGTGTGAATGATTAAACATCGGTTTAAAAATACACATGATCTCTGAGGGCTCTTAGAACGCGATTGTATGTACATTTCGGGTTGGACTGTTGGAGGGGCAAATTAGATTTTTAGCGTGATCAGATTGCATGGACATGATTTCAAACTTCAGTTATCCCGAATTGAACACGGGTCTATCCATTTTGGTATACTCTATCTACCGGTTAAACTACGCCCTAGGCTGCTAGGCCTGATAAGCATAAGGGAAGAATGTGTGTTGAAGAAAATAATGGCAGACAGGGTTATGTTTAATTTGAGTGTTTATGCGCACTTTCATCTTAAGTGCCTGGTAGGGCCTTGACAATAATGTTGGTGAAAATGCTGCGAAAATTATAACAGGGGCCAGAAAATATTTCACAGCCTTGTCTGTGATTTTACTTCCAAAGATGCATGTATGTCTTCTCTCCATTGGTCTTATCTGCACTCTAATGGTGGGGGCTGTCTTTGTCAACTGCAGATGTGCATCAGGACCTCTTGTACTCTTTACTCGCATAAAGTATTTCATGGAATAATAAGGGCCTGTTTACTAACAGAAATATTTTCCAGTTTTCCAGAAAATTGGAAAACTGGAGAACAGAAAACAGGAAACATGTTTACCAAAGAAATTCCTGGAAAACTGGAGAAAGGAAAAAAGAAAAACGCGTTTACCAAATCGTTTTCCAAAACGAAAAAAATGAAACATGTCTCTCTTTTCCTTAATGATTTGGAGAAGTGACTTTTACTAGTTTTCCAAATTTGGAAAACGCAGATGCTACAGTGCCTTTGCAATGAATTTGCATACTTACACCTAGTGGTGGGTCCGGTCCCGCTCCGATGTCGATTCCATTCTGGTACCTCCATCCTCGTACCTTACCCCTTACCCCTACCCTACCCACCCAACCCCCACCCCGCGTACCCATTTTTCCCTATAATGACCTTACCCACCCCCCACCACGTGCCCCGACCTCGACCCCACCCCGATCCACCCTACCCTACCACCACCCCCTACCACCTCGACCCCACCTCGATCCACCCTACCCTACCGCCACCCCCCTACCACCTCGACCCCACCCCCGACCCACCCTACCCTACCCCCACCCCTCGTATATTACCACTTACCCCTACCTTACCCCTTACCACATGTCTCCTACCTCGGCCCCACCCAACCGCCATCCTACCCCCCACCCCCGTACCGCCATCCTACCCCCACCCCCACCCTACCCTACCTCGGCCCCACCCGGATCCCGGGCCCACCCTACCGTCATCCTATCCCAACTCCCTACCCCTACCTTACCCCAACCCCAAAACCTTACCCACTACCCCCACCCTTACCGCCATCCTACCCCCACCGCCATCCTATCCCTTCCCTACCGCAGCCCCACCCTGGTCCCGACCCCACCCTACCGCCATCCTATCCCAACTCCCTACCCTACCCCTACCTTACCCCAACCCCAAACCCCACCCACTACCCCCACCCTTACTGCCATCCTACCCCCCCACCCTACCCCTTCCCTACCCCGGCCCACGTCCCGACCCCACCCTACCGCCATCCTATCCCAACCCCTACCTTACCTCAACCCTACCCACTACCCCACCCTTAACCCTAACGACGACCCTAACCCACCCACTACCCCTACCTAACCTCCTACCCCTATACCTTACCACCCCACCCCGACCATACCCCTTACCACACCCCCCACCCATAACTTCCCTACCCGACCCCTACGAGTAGGTATGAGTGGGTATGAAGGGTTGTGGTGGAGTATGGGTAGAGTGTAAGATCGTGGTAAGGGTAGAGGTAGGGGTCAAGGGTGTGGAATTGGAGAACTGTGTGGAAAAATTGATGAACATGTTTTCAAATTTGAAAATGGAAAACTAAAAAATAGAAACAGAAAGTTGGAGATAGAAAAACTGAAAAATAAAAACAGAAAATTGGAGAACGAAAAACAGAAGTGGAAAACAGGAAAATATCTCTGTTAGTAAACAGGCCCTAAATATTCCATCTTCTTGTTTTGACTGCCACATTTATTTAATACTCTAGTTCAATGCAAAAGTAAAAATGATTGAGAATTGATTGGAATGTGTTAAATAATACTACCTCCGTCCCAATTTAAAATACTCTCTTTCTTTTTTGGTTCGTCCCTAAAAAATGTCACATTTCTTATTTGGTAAACAAAACAGTATCAAACATTGTCAAACCGTGTCACTTTCTTAAATTGTATGTAAAACAAGAGGGTCTTTTAAATTGGGACGGAGGGAGTAATGCCACATTTATTTATTTCAAAGGCAAACGCAAATAATACTTCCGGGGTTTTTCCAAAAATATTATTGAAATAAAACTTATTTATAAAAAAAATACAACTAAAGGTACTATCGGTTAGGCCTGTCAATGGGTCGAGTCCCGGGTGGAACGTAGTGTTCCAGATCCGGATCTGCTAAGTTAATAAAGGACCCAAACCCGACCCCTATACCAAGCGGGTCTGAAAAATTTGGACTCAGACCCGGACCCAACGGTCTCAGAACTGGATCGGGTAGACCCGCCAAGTATGATATGCACAACATTATAAACTTTGTGAAAATAACAAGACATGTATATGAAATGCAAAACAAAGAGCACAAACTTAAAAACAAAATATATTTCACTTTTGAAAAAACTCATTGTTTCTCATAGAAAATTAGTACTTTTATCTAATAAAATATCAGTTCTTGTAGAAGCGTATGACTCCACACTTTGTGTCTCTTTCTCTCGCACAGAAAACTCTTATATTAGACTAGAAATTAGGTTACAAAAGGTCACTTGAACTAGTGAGAGTATGAAAGTATATTATATAGGATAATAATATAATAATATACTCCCTCCATTCCATTTATATTGTCCCGTTTTACCTTTTCGGGAAGTCCTACTTAAATTGTCTCATATCATATTTGGCAAAGTTTGTGTGACTCTAAATCATTCTTACTTTATTCTTACTTTATCAATTAATATCAACCACACAAACCCACTTTTCTTAATAACCGTGTCACCCTCTTCCGTCCCAATATAAATGGGACGGAGGTAGTAATTAATAATAAATACAGGGCTTTGCCTCCCGACCCCAATACACACTTTATTATAATTTAAAAACGGCCACTATAAATATTAGTTTTAGGGTTTCTCACTATCTCAATCAATATTACTTAAACAGTAGACAATATGTATTATTGTGTATATTTTTAATTAATTAAAGAATTACTACTGATAACTTTATGTATTAGTATGTATGTGTGTGTGAGAGTATTAGTTTGTATTTTTTTCATTTGAAGTATTACAACTAATCACTTTATGTAGAGTGAGTGTGTGTATGTGTGTATACTAATAAAAAGAAAATTAAACAGATTCGGATCTTTAACGTGTCGGAATCATATGTACCATATCCGAGACGTTTATAAAAATCTAACGGGTGCGAGTTCGGGTCCGAGTAAATGGAATAAAATATAGATCCATACCCGTTAAAAACAACCGGATTCCGGTCAGGTCCGAGTCTAGACCCGACTCATTGACATAGGTAGTGTTATAATCACTTAATTGTAAAAAATGAACATAAGTTATTATTAAAGTTACTACTACCATAATATGGAGTACTAATGGTCTATCATTAATAATGACTTTTTGTTAGAGACACTTAATATGGAGGCCTACCATAAGTTATTATCAGAGTACTATAATTACTATTACATTTATCTTAACATAACTTCCTTGATCTGAAAAATGTCATCTCAAATGTGGAAAATGATTTTTTGGGGATCAATTTTTATATCTAATTATGGCAACCATTAATCCATTATCATGCATTCCTCACCACCACCACCACCATAGACAATGACCAATTGGTGCTTAAAAAACACATCAATTAACACATTAGACTATTGGAGTATCATACTACCGATGTAACGGTGTTTCCCTATATTACTGTAGACTTAGAGTATTGGTGATTGAATTCCTAAAATCTAAATGCATATTCCCTTTTGGTGTATATGGTGGACAACTGTGCTAGGTGTATACAAAAATGTGTACACTTTGTGTACATTCGTTTGTCTCACGCAGACAGAGTTGTCTGTCCACAGACAATTCTATAGAGACATCTGTAGACAGACAACCCTTTCTGCGTGAGACAGACGAATGTACAAAAAGTGTACACATTTTTGTGTACAAGAGCATTTTTCATATGGTGGAAATGTAATAATGACTTTTTGCTAGAGACACTTAACCTAACGTCAGAGATACATCATGTC